CCTCTCTGATGAAGAGAGGGGTTGCGTACATCACTTACCTAACCCCCTGGGTAGTGACTATTAAATCTCGGGCTGACATTGAGATTAGCCCGATTACATAGTGCCTAGCTATGTCTAGTTACGATCTAAGCGCGACGATGTGAATAAGCGCTTAATACCTCTTAGCCTAGCATCGATCCTAGGATTACTAATGTGAAAACAACGTGCTTCTAAGTCCGTGCATTAAACAGGACAATCCGTAGTTATCGCTTGGATCATATTCTTAGTCTAACCGGTGAAATTAACCTCTCGGGTGACTAGTCGCGTGAATACCACGGTGTCTGCCCTGAGCTTTCCGTGTTGACTTAATGCCGATTCACCGGGTGTCCTCTGCGCCCTGGGAGGGGGCTTCTTACTGGGTTGTTGTACTGCAGTATACGGATAAAGCGATTGTAGAGGTTTCTTCACAGCCAGGGCCCGCCTTGTCGCTAGGACTGTGACGAGGTAACAGGCTTTCTTATGCGACAGGGGTAAACTGATGTGAAATGGAATTGGTTTTCCAGGGAGTCCCATGCTCATTGACGCCTGTTTTAATTTCCCTTTTGTTGCGGTCGTGGCCCACTGCGTCACCGTCAGTTCCAGTTCAGAGTAAAAGACAACGCGACCTGAAGAGAGACGGGATTCATCAGGCTGGGCTGGGGCGGTGTACGGTCGCACATTACCACATGGGCGACATAATCCTTTTGGGAAGCCTCAACCATGTTAAAGGGAGTAGTTTTATTGGGGTTGCCTCACGTGACGACCACACTGCACAATAGACTTCCCGGCTCGGAAGGTTCACTAAGGGGTTTTCTTCCCTCCTGCAACTGCCTCACGGGGAGTCAATTGCTCGCCTCGGCAGGTATCTCGTTATCTCTCACGCAGTCAAGACTCGACTTTCACCCCCCCCCCCCCCCACCTTCCCTCTGTATATAGCACTACTACAATATACAGACACTTGCCTCCCTACGAGGGAGCGCGGACGGGCCCTCTTTGACGCTGCGGTCTAACACGCTTACGCATAGGGTGGTCATTAATTCCACCTTCCACTCTATATTTTCAATTTTATAGAAGTTAAAGTTATATGCGTCAATTCTATTAACTCTATTTCACCTTTACGTTGATATGCTTAATGCTATCTAGATGCCTTTAATATTAACTACTAGTTAAAACCGCTAAGGAATAGTAATAATTCAGGGTAGTATCTATAGCCCCCGCTAGACCTATCGGCTAGACTTTATCGCCGGTACTTCTTACCCCTTAATTTTTATATATATACTAAGTATACCTAATACTTAGGGCTCGTAAATATATCTTAATTTATTATCGCGCCTTAGGACTACTTTTAGTAAAAATATTATATATATCCTATTCCTTCCTAGGATCTAAATAGACGCTAATATACCTATTAAGCACTAATAGCCTTTAGACTATAATATATCTAATATGCCGCTTATTAACTTAGATATTTTATTAGATAATTAGAAAATCTTCCTATAAAATAAGTCTTTAACCTTTCTAATTTCTAAATATATTAGCATATAGACTTTATAGGTCTAATAGTATAGCTTTGATATTTAAGCCCGCAATTCTTATATAAAGAGGGAATTGGTTTATAGGCCTTACTTATTTTATCTCTAGTAGGTAGATATTATTTAAGAAAACTCGGACCATAGCAAATATAGCTATTAGTTGTCGAGCCCCGACGCTTAGAACGACCCTTTTGTCATATATCGCAGGTATTAATGGGCTATGAGGATTAAATGAGCGCTTGATTTTCTATCTAAAGGAGTGATAAGAGTCGGTCTCTTATACCTATGTTTAGTCTGCCGATCTCATAGGCAGCAGGCTATTGCCTAATGCCAGTTCTAGTATAGCGTTCACGCTAACCATAAAGCTATTTATAATAGTAATAATCCTTGCCCCTAATATTATAAATCCTATCTAATATTAATAAGAGAAATAAAAATATTACCCTTAATTATTATAAATAGCTCTTAACTTATTATTAGAGCTATCTATATTAATAAAATATAAATATTTAATTAATATTATTAAGTAAATAGTCTTATTATTATAGATTTAATTAAAAATTAATATAATAGGGATAACATAGATATTAAGGTTATAAATATAAAATAGCCTAATTAACGCGGTAGATATATTAATTAATATATTAAGAGAGATTAAAATAATATTATATAAGAGGTAAAGGAAGATAGCTAAGACGCTAGGGAGTAAATAATAGGATCTCAGCGCAGGTATACGGTTTAACCTCTTTAATTTAACGCTATTAATTTAATCTAGAGATATAATAGTTTAACTCTATAGGCTAAATGCTAAGTAAGCTATTAATATAATGCCACGCGAAGGCGAAATTAATGGAATTGAATTAATAACTAGCCTGCTTACGCATAAGACCGCAGTGACAGGTGACCCGTTGCGGCTAAACTACACACACTCTGTCCCTCTTGACTGCGTGAGGTCACCAATAAAGTGCTAGGGTGATATTCTAGCACACTTTTTGCGAATATGTGAATATGAATATGAATATCACTTTAGCGCGTGATATCACAATACGCAAGTCTGCGGCTAGCACTAAGCTCACCAAACGATTAAAGGAACAGGGTTGTATCATCTCTATCAAGAAGGGCCCCGACAAATCTAAAAATTCGAGGGTCTTAGACGAGTCCAGCGAGGGGAAGTAAGGTGAAGAGGAATCTTGGGGGAAATGAAAACGGCTTCCGGTCCATCGACATGCACAAGGGAAAGAAAGTTATGCGGCATTCCAGGGATTTGGAGGCAACGCATGTCAGATACATGCGGGAGGGGAGGCCACAAACGGTTATGGGCTCACTGTTTAGGATTTAAGGGTTTGTTAGAACTGGCGCTTTGCATCTTGTTACGTCTTGTTATAACCACCAATTGACTTGATATCTTAATAGGCAGTAATGATAATTATATGTCCTTGAGCTACTTAGGTGGGAATAAATGAATCCAGACGGGCAGGAGCATTGGACTTGTGCGGCTACCTACTATGTGTCCGCTACGATTCCTTTAAGTAAGAGTTATGACTGTTCTGGCGGGATTGGTCGACCTTGGATCTGGACGCTTTAGACGGAAGTAGAAGCATTTAAGGCGAAATCTCATTAGTCCGGGCTTCCATCAACTTAGACCTTAGCGAAAATCTTTGCCACATGCCGACTTTCCGATCCGAAGAGGAACAAGGATTCCACGCCCCAGGCATCTCAATAGCCCAGGACTATTGTGGAGTTGTATCCAACACATTAGCGTATCCGTCTTGGATAAGAGACTGCAAGTCTAACTAGTGGTGTTAAGAGGGGATAGAGCGCGAGAAAGTTGCAGAACCGGTGTGAAGGTGGAGATACTCGCGCAGGCGATCCGAGCCTTACGTGGGCCTGGTCTCGGTTTTAGTGTCTCGTATTGGATTCGGGACGTTGGATTGTGTAATCCGTTGATTGCCCTCGATCAGATCTGCGTATGTCGAGCGTCTCAGATGAAGTTACCTAAGGCCGTGCGTCCGGAGTGTCTAAGCATCCCAGTCATCGAGTCATCAACTATCATTACATTGTGTAATGGCTGCAGGGACATACTGTCGAGATGTTAAGGGCAAGGATCATAACCATCGTGAATA